CAACTTTAAATTTGTAAATTAAGGGTATAAAATAGAAATAAAAAAATAAGGAATATAAAATAAGTTAAATATGATAACTATAAGATATAAAATGAAAGTTTTAAAAATAATTCACTACGTATTTATGTTATTTGATAATATGAGATTAAATAAAAATATATATATTCAATATTAGGTTCATTCAAAAGCCACCGATGAGACAATTATAATGATATAATTTGTAACACGTGAAACGTATTTTTTAAATATATTTTAGTTAATATACGATTACGTATGATAATTTGATAATGATGTAAAATGAAAAATGAAAAAGAAAGAAATATAAAGTAAATTAAATAACTAACTATAAGGATATAAAATGTAACTTGAAAATTAAAAATAATTTGATTTTAATATTATATAGAAATACCTCTTAAATTTTAACTCTTAACCGTTTACCATACTCATATATATATATATATATATATATATATATATATATATAGAGAGAGAGAGAGAGAGAGAGAGAGAGAGAGAGTGTGTTTGGTTCAAATGTTAACCAAGATTATTATGTTAACTTTGTTAACTAAGCTCAACCAATGAAAATCCATCTTTTATCTAGATTCATATACATCTCATAATTTAATGACAAGGGTAAATATATATTTTCAGTTTGTATGTAACTTTCATATCATTAATTGAGAGTTACAAAATCAAAAAATCACATCATTGTTGTTGATTTACTATTGATCTTGTTTTTTTATAATATTAATTTATCTATCTATAATGTTCTTGAATTTGTGATTGTTAAAGAAGACCCGATAGTAACGTTTTCGACATCGTTCAAGCTAATATTGATAAACCCATTGGAAAACAACTCGATAACAATGAGAAGGTTAAAATGATTTACGATGACAATCAGATTTCGAGTTCCGGAAGTGAAAACAATAATCAAAGCGTTTGTATTGGTACAATTAATATGTTATTATATTCGTTTTAATCGAAATTATGTTGATTATGACATTTTTGTGTTTTTTATAGTTCATATTGTGTTGATAATTTTTTTTAATTATTAATACGAGCCCAATTCATATGTTCAAATGAAATGAGTACATCGTCAACTTAATTTATTATGCAATCCAATTCTGATAACCATTTGGCATTATCAGCTGCTTGTGATACTTAACCTGCCATAAACTGCAACTAGTGTTTATATACGTTCAGGTGTGTTTATATATATTCTAGTAAGGACATGAATTAAAGCATCTAATATAGACTTTATAATTTTTGTTAATTTATTACTGATCTTGTTTTTTTTTTTATAATATTGATTTTTCTATCTGTAATGTTTTTGAATTTGTGATTGGTAGAAGAGACCCGGTAGTAAAGTTTTGGTATCGTTCAAGCTATTAGGGATAAACTCATTGTTCATAATGAAAGAACTATTGTTCACAAGTGTTCATAATTAAGAAACTATTGTTCACGAACTGCTCATATTGTGTTCATATGTACATTAGTTGCATATCTCAACATTGGCTCGTTCCTGAATGTGTTCACAATGAAGGAACTATTGTGCACAAGCTGTTCATGTTGTGTTCATAAATGCTATGCAGTTCAAGTTCATATATATGTTAATTTTTTTTCGTATTTGACACAATGGTTCATATGTGTGTGTGTATATATATATATATATATATATATATATATATATGTGTGTGTGTGTGTGTGTGTCTGTGTGCACATGTTCATATGGTTTTTACATTAAAAAAATAATATGATTTTTTGATTTTGTAACTCCCAATTAATGATATG